TATTTTTAAATGGCCCATCCTCTCAGGAGAGCTCCAGTGTCTGTAGTCATGACAGCTGTTCAGTTGTGCCTCCCTGTCTTCCACGTGACTGAGCCAACAAGCTCACCAGTGCCTGCGTGCTTGTCTCTTTCTCTTTTGCCCAGAGCACAATCATTGTGGAGAAGACGGTGCAAGACCTCATGAACCTGATGCACGACCTGAGCGCATATTCAGACCAGTTCCTCAACATGGTGTGCGTGAAGCTCCAGGAATACAAGGACACCTGCACTCTGGCCTACAGGTAGAGCTTCCATGCAGAGCCAAGTAGAGTCCAATGGCTTTCGCTTGGTAATGGTGGCTTCATAGTCACCCATCTCCTGTTCCTAAAGGACACTTAAAAGTCAAACATTTTCAAGCTGCTAGTGTTAATAATCTGCAGTATGATTTCGTTTTAGCTCTTATAAACAATGTTCCTCTTGATGTTAGATCTCTAACCTTCCCACTGTCATGAAAGGATGGTTAGTTCCTGTTTTCAACGTGAGTGGAAATGAGAATCATTGTTATGAACTTGAAAACCTTTAGTTAGTGATTTCTCGGAGTTCAAAAAATATCTCTGGCTGGTGGAGAAGAGCATTGCACTGTGCATAGAGAGTTAATAATAGGAACAAATTATGGCCTAGCTGACACGATATGAAACAATTAGGGCAGGAAAAAGAATGTATGAAACACTAAATTATGTGTGATATGTAATTACAGAGAGCTAGGTAGAGCACAGTACATAATCAGGTGCTCCTCCTTAAACAATTTGGAGTAGAAAAAAGCACGAGCAAGAGAAAAAGTAGTTGGAGTCAGGAGAGATTGTGTTGCAGGTGAGCTGAGTTCCAGACCTCAGGCTGCTGGGTGAAGTTTGTGCAGGTGGAGAGAATACACGGGGATGGTGAGGAAGCATGAAGGTAGTTGCCTGATCGTGGGAGGAGGCGATGAAGGAAGAGGAAGTCCCGCTGGAGTTTCTCCGAGTTACTAGTAGGAAACAGTGCTAATAGCAAAGGGCTGTGTATGATAAGACGGCTCAGCAGGAGTGGAAAGGAATTTTAGGGCGCCGTTTCAGATGGTAGCAGTGGAAGTGTTTGGAAAGGCTCGTGAGAATGGTAATTCAATTGAAGAATGCAACCAGTGTCATGGAATTGCCATGTAGAAAGTTGTTCCCATTGGAGTCTCTTTGTCACCCAAAAATAAACATGTAAATAAGGCTGGGGAATTTAGGTGTTGTGGAGTCGTTAATGCCTGTAGTAAATAATGACAGCCGAGGAACGGAACATGGGTTAACACTTAACCGCCCTCATCTCAGCCACAGATACATAAGTCTCAATAAAATTTCAAAAACTCGAACTCCGTTACCTCAGGAAATGACATACTTCCAATAGTATTTTGTAATTTTTGTGCAATAATTATTTCACTGTTTTAACTCAATGCTGCAAAAAATTGTAACTGTCAACTTAAAAACTGTGGAAGGAGATGATTGGTTTTCACCTCTTTCAAGTTCTTGTGAGATCACACACATACACACACACACACACACACATACACACTCACACGTTAAAAGCCACTATTCTTTGTTAGCTGAATAAGATTGGAATTACTGGGCTCTCAGGTGCTGTGTTTAGAGTTTTACACGCCCACACTCCAAAGTGGTGGCATCAGTGTCATGTCCACTGAAAGAAAATCGAATGACATATTTTAGATATGAAGAATGAAATATTCAATAGGTACTTTTAATTAATTGTGTTTGAAACACTAACATTACATTTACCTTATCTTTCCCATCCATTGAGTTTTAAGTTTTTTTTAAAAAATCAAGCATTGCCTTTGTTCTTTTGCATTTGATTATGGGCACCCAATACTTTCTAGCAAATTGTAATGCTCAGCGCTATTAATTGTACTGAAAGTTGTGTAGAACCTGTTTAGGACCAGGTAAAAGAGACTCAGGGCTCTCTTCCCCAAGGACATTCAGATGTTCTTGTTGGGCTTAGTATTTTGAAACAAATCTTTTATGTTCAAATAGCCTGACACTTTATTCATTGCACGTAATCTCGCCATCATCTTCTCTGACAGGTGATTGTCCTGTCCCTCCACATGTCAGGTGACAGGAAGGTCACTTTGCCCACAGAACAGAATGCTTCTGTGGAACAGCTGTCATCTGAAGACTCCTCTTTTGAAGTCATCCCCCCTTCTCCATGGGACCCTGTCCTTGTTTTCTGGAGTGATTCCAAATCACTTGGACCCTTTGCATACCTGAAAACCCTTCAAGAGGGAGATTCCCAAGCCCAGTCCAGTATTTCACTGGCGGAAACATGACTCTGCTGGTCGGGACCAGACTTTGCTTCTTGGCAGGGGGTGGGGGGGGTGTCTCTCCTCTCTGCCACGGTCAGACCCAAGATATGGTGTGGGTGAGTGGGGACACAGAAGTCAGCCCATCGCGGGCCCTGTCTTCAATGGGCTTACATTTCTTCCGGAGGATCACGAGGGACATGAAACAGAGAAGTAGGAGGAGGACGTCTATAGCAATCATTAAAACAGAAAGGATGATAATATAGATGTATTGCTGATATCAGATTAAACTTGACCGAAAGCAGAGGATCCCACAAGGGTGTTGACCTGTGTTGTTTCCCAAAGGGATTTGGACTGTGTGGGTCATAAGAAATTATGGATATCATTGCAAAGAATAGGAATTCCAAACACTTAATTGTGCTCACGCCGAACCTATACGTAGACCAAGTTGTTCAAATGGAATAAGGGGGTAGGACCTGGTTTAAGATCAAGAAAGCTGTATCGGAGTTGGATCCTTTCACCAGTCTGTATACTGAGTGAACAACCAGAGAAGCTGAAATATAGTGAAGAAGAATGTGGCATCCGGATTGGAAGAAGACTCACGAATCACCCACAACATGCAGGTGCCACCACCCTGCTTGCTAAAGACAATGCGGTCTTGAGACACTTACTGATGGAGATCGAAATCTGCAGCCTTTAGTAAGGATTACACCTCAACGTAATGAAAAATCCAGATCTTCACAAGTGAACAAGAAGTAATGTCGCCATAAGCAAAAGGCCACTTTAGGTTGAACCCAGCTGCTGGCACTTACTAAAACAGAGGTACCGAGGGTAAGTCAGGAGAAAGACATTATGAAAGGGAGGTAGGAAATGCGTGGTGAAGCATATGAACTAGGCCTTGAAGAAGGAGTTGGATGTCAATGGACTCCAGGAGCCAAAGGAAGAAGCAGCGCCATGCCAGGGAGATGGGCACATCTGGGTGTGGGGTTCCAGGAAATGAAAGTCCTGAACACCAGGCTTCAGGAACCGACCTTTTGCAATTAAGTAACAGGGAGCCATTGAAGATGTGGAGACAGGAAGTACCAGGTCAGGGGTGTGCTAATGGTAGATTTGTCTGCACTTCGTGGAAGATGGGTTGGAAAAGCAAGAGCGTGGAAGCACAAGGGAGAGAGAGTAACGGATTCTGGGAATCCCAAAACCAAACCCACTGCCATTGAGTCAAACACTTCGTAGCAACCCTGTAGAGGAGAGGAGAACTCCCCCCTTAAGGCTTCGGAGACGATCCATCTGTATGGGAGCAGCCAGCCTCCTCTGCCTCCCAACGAGATTCTGGTGGGCTTGAACCACCCACCTTATTGTCAGCAGCCCAACGTTTAACCCACTGCACCACCAGGACTCGTTGATTTAGAGTATTGGCACAAAAAGTGGAAGGAAGTTAGGAGGCATCAGGAAGGTGAGATTGGGCCACTGCTTGGCTGTCAGGCGTCAGGAAATGTTAAGAAGGCAAACGAGTTCATATGCAGCCATGTGTTTTCTGTTCCATTCTCTGTACTGATTTTTTTAAAAATTGAAGATCTTGCACTTACCCATTACATTTAGTGTTGTTATTTTTAGCTCCTCATTTCAGTCTATTGAGATATTTTTGAATCCTTATTCTGTCATAAAAAAAGAAAAATCTTAGCTATTCCTCCAAATTCCATGTCACGCTCAATTTTATAAGCAACCTTTTAGTCTGTCAGTTCATGTGCACTGTTCAATAGGATAGAGCTGAGATGAAAAAGTTGTGGCCATACTTCTTGAGACTTCATATCAATACTGAAGAATGCCTGATTACTTCACAAGTTCATCTTTCTATAAACTTGAGCTTTAGTTCAAAAACCGTGCTTGGTGCCTAGGTTCAAATGCTAACTTGTCCACCTGCCAGTTCCACGGCCTTAAAAAATTATTCCACTTCTCTGTACTTTCTTTTCCTTTTCTGCACAAAAGGATAATACTAGCCCATCCCTCTAGTATTGTTTTCAAAATTAAATGAGTTAACACATCAATCATTTCAAATTATTTTAGATATTGGTAAGCTCCCAAAATATGATTGGCTGTTACTTTGATGGTGATGATGATGATGATGATTACAGTTCCTGGTGCCGTTGCTCGTGATCCTTTGTTGTTAGGTTCTCTTGAGTCATCATGGGGTCTTACAGTGATCCCATAGTCCACAGAGCAAAACGCCTGGCCCCGCACCATCCTCACAGTGGTCCCTGTGTTTGGGCTCCTTGTTGCAGCCAGGGTGCCCATCTCCCTCATGGACAGCCTTCCTCTTTTATCCGACCCTCTCTCTACTTTTCTAAGCATGATGTTCTCCAAGGGTGGGTCTCTCCTTGTCCAAGGTACGTGAGACTTAAACCTTGCTTCCAAAGAATAATCTAGCCGTGGTAACTACAGTGCAGCTCATCCAAGACTGTTGATGAGTCCCCCTCTTTTTCACCACCTGCTCTAGAGGTGATCTTTATTGTTAGATTCCTGGGGGTATTTACCCAGACCTGTTCCTTTTAAAGCAGCAATCCCTCCTGCCTGTCTTCTCAGACGGCACGCACACAGGCTGGCACGGACAACACCAGGAACTTGTTCAGGAATGCCCTGCTCCACCAGTGCTTTTAGGATCCACTGCTTCCTATCTGCCCAGCTTCTTCCTAAGAGCGCTCATCTGCTCCAGCTGTCACCCTTGGAAACAAAGTCAAGACAGCCAAGAGCTAAATTCGCCCTTTCTTCTTATAGATCAGCTAGTTCCCCAGTTAGGAAAGGAACCCAGTCTGGAGCTTGCTCTTGGTGAGTTCTTCCTCTGAGTTCCTCCTGCTGTGTCCTCGCAGGCCATCTCGAATCACCTCTTCCAACAGTGTTCCCCTACTTGCAAGCTCACACGCGCTCTCAGTTCTGCAAGGCCTGCAGCGCCATTGGCAGGCCTTGTTCCTGCCTGCC